GGTTGATGTTGGGCGGGATTTCACATTATTTGCATTGGAACCAGGGTATGTCCAATTCTACCGTGATCCAGGGAAACACGGAAGACGATATGTGGGCATTGTATTCAATCGTAATGATAGACTCCCACACGACCCAACTTCGCCACGATCTCGACGATTTGGACTAATCGACGTTGCAGCATTCAAAGATGAACAAGACAAGTCACGACAACAAGCAATAATTGCATGGGAGGAAAAACAACAATTGAAACAACAACAACAACAACAACAACAACAACAACAACAACAACAACATCAACAACATCATCATCATCATAATAGAATAGCGTAGATTTTTAAGTACGTGCTCAAATAGACTCGTCAAATTTATGATAATAAACGAATTAATATGTCTCTCACCCTTACTCATCATTAACCAGTTCTTTAGATCCTTTTTTGAATACATTATACACACGTTCGACATCATCACTATTAGCAAACTGCTCTCCCAAGAATGCACGCAACGAATTCCAAAATGCATCACTTTTCATCTTATCCAAACTTGATTTCCTTGACCCATCTTCTCTCTCCGACGTTACATCAACAGACTGAGTACTACTCTTTACAACAAGATGAATAATGTTTGCATCGCCAACATCATATTCGTACAGTGGTTTTGTATCGTGTAGAGCTTTGCCTTTGAGAATTAGACGTTGGTTGGCAGGACTAACGGAAGAGAGTGGATAGAGTTTTTCTTTTAATTCTAACACAGTTGAAGAAGAAGGTATATCGATTGTGTAGATTTGCCCGCCCTTGAGACGTTTTACTTTGACCTGGATTTGTTGGCCTGCATCTAATTTGAATGGAACAAGGGAATGTTTAATTGATCAGAATGCTTATCTCATAATAGAATCTTTAAAATTTGCCGCAAACGAGATACAATTTTGTCCTATATCAAAACCCTTATTCCTTGTCCATACCTTTACGCGAAGTCCCTTGCTGTTTTACTTTCTCAACAGTCTTTGGTCTCGGCACTGACGGAGTCTAAAGCACAACCTGTATTACAACACTTTTGCTGTTATACTAACATACTCAAGTGACAATTACCTTTGAAGCTGCCCTTGACTTTGTCCAGGTTGGAGGAACAAAATCAGCATGATATCTTACGGGGAGAGAACTAAGTGATGCGAGATAGTTCGTGACAAAGGAAGTCTCATCGACCAGGCTCATTGTTGAGCAAAGAGAAGAATTTAGATGTTATTTTTGCCACATGGAATGTATTCGTGCTGCAGTCGAGTTTCGACCATATTGCCATATTTGTCATATACAACTAGATCGCCCCAGCAAAATTGCGTGTAATATGGTCGTAGTCATATGACAAAGAATTTAATCGAGGTACTACAAGTCAACCTCGATAAGTCGGCCCAGGTGGGCTGGGCTATTTTGACCGAATTATCGAGAACACGTGATCTAACCGAATATAATAAATTTAATTGTAAAAAAAAAACCATCTAGAGTAGTTTGTTTCATTGAATTGATTTGTTTCTTAATACTAAGGAACAATCTATGCTAAAGTCATTCTGTTGTTGTAAATAACTCAATATATTTTTGACACTTTCTAAAGCCGTCTTATTTGACACCGGTAATAGATATAAATCGTCGTTGCTGTCACACGCTTCCTCAGCTGTTCCTTGAACTAAAGCGATGATTTCATCATCATTTATGTCAAATTCCTCCAGAAAATGATGAACAAAAAGCAGTTGAATGGTGTCAAAAAGCAGCTGAACAAGGAGTTGCCATTGCACAATCTAATCTTGTTGTTTCTCGATGGCTGTAATAGTTTTTAATTTTCTTCCTTTTTTACTACCACCTTTATTAGAGTTAACTACGGTAGATTCCATTTTGCAATTTTTAATATCGTTGAAGATAGCATCAACATTCTTTTATTTGCGAAAAATTTTTACAAGACGTGTAAATTTTATTTCTAGTGACATCATTCTTATGTCATTATGACCACGCGCGAATAATTATTTAACGTATCGAACTTACTGTAACATAACGTTCTTAACCAATAGAAAGAACGCTTTTATCACGTGAGACCGACTTATCAAGGTATATACAACTATGACCAGTTTTGAGCTTACAGCTTATCGAGAAATTATATAGATTGGCCGACTTATCGAATATTTTTAAACAGTGAAAAAAGGGCTGAAGATATTTGGCCGAATTATCGAGGTTGATGTGTGCTTTAAGAAAGTGACTTGTTTACGTTTCATCGTCACTATGACAAAGATGACGATGAAAATGTACCTTATGTGAATTAGTCGCATGTCCAAATGATGGCACCTTATGTGAAAAATAAAACATATTATGATCGTCTCCACGATCAATTACAGTTCAAAAAAAATATGACTAACCCAACATTATTAAAGCATACTCTCTCACTTATTAACACTACTGCTTTAGACAATTCACCAGGTTTAACTACTATTGAGAAAGTGGACTTATCGTTAGGTATTATCAACACAATAGTAGCGATCGGAATTTTTTTCTTAATCAGTTACTTGGTTTACACTGAAATGAGAAAACAAAGAACAATGGAAACAAGAAATGATCCGAACAAAAACAACAACGGCGAGCAAATTGACCTCGAAAGAAATTAAAAATAAGTTATTGCTGTGTCTTAGTGTGTCTGAAGTCAACGCGTATGTATTCGGAATGATGGAATCCTTTGTACACAAGCGTAAATCGCTGACATGGAAAAGTGTTTGTTTGAATCAACTAATGCATAAATTTACTTGCGATGTGTTAGGAGCAAATCTCTTATTAGGTCAACATACAATAACATTACCGCCTTTTTACACACGATGCAAAAATGAATTACTTTATTTCTTGACTAATAGATAGAAAATCTATGCAGCAAATGTATCTAAATAAGTTAAGCATAATAAGAGGGTGAAATAAGCAAATCAGAAAGGATGGATAATTGATTATCCGTAAACTGTTTCTTGTCTTCATGCCAAGTATCTTGATGTGTTCTTCGGAAATCAGCAAACGTCTTCTTCACCGTTGTCTATTAGTATATAATTTATCGTATTGCACATTGAGCCTCCCATTCCTATGCACGCCAATCCCTCATGCTTAGTTCTCTCTCACCTGAATAGGTGCAGGATCAGATATACATCCTGCCAACTTCACAAGTACGTCAGGCATCCACTTTGGTATTTCATACGGGAATGCATCAACGAGGCAAGATAGCCCCAAAACTGCTGCATGACGTTTAATAACTGCCTCTGCGAACCCAGGAACAATGACTGCGTTCAGGGGTTTGTCGGTTCTCTTGCGAGATGGGATTTTTACTTTAATGAGTTCGGTGAAACGTTGCTGAAATTATAGAAGATATTTAAAGTGAGTTATCATATAGAGAATCTTATAAAATACTTGTCAAGTTCGTAAGTGTATGTACATACCTCCAAAGTCGTAATTGCATCTCTTTGTGAGCATCGAATAAGACCAGCAAGTGTCACAGCAGCCAACTGACGAACCTATCGAGACAAAAACGAGTCCCGTTACAATAAGCTCAAGTTGCTGCAAGAGCATTTCATATATACGAACCTCAATCTGCATATCCATCAACATTCCACTGACAACATCCATAACCTTAATCATCTCCGCCTTGGTCAACGTGAACAAATGTTTAAAATAGAATACTTGTATTACCGGCAAAGCTTTAACCCTCACATGCCAGCTGGGTGATTCTGTCAAGATTTCCACGAATTTATCGATCATCTGGTGGACTATAGCTGGTGGATAGGTGTACGAAGCTATTTGATTGAGAACATGTGTAGCCATGTTTTGGAGATCTTGGTCATCGTTGATATCTTGCATTTGAAAGATTTCCGGTAAAAGGGGAACGATAAACGGATATGTGCCTGTGGCCTGAAAACCACACAAGGATTCGTAAAGCCATGCGAGAACTAGAAAGAAAAATAATTATAACATGTAACAAAGGAAAAAACAGATTTGAAGGGTTCTCATTAATACATTAGTTTCCCATAGTGCATTCTATTCAGATCGAAAAAAAAGTCTTACCCGTTTTCGAAGCATTTCCATACTCTGAAGACCCAGTGGCAGTCGGAATCTTGACTGCTCTCCATTCAGCCAGAGCCTTCACCAAGTTTTCGAGAATCTCTTCGACTCTTGCGTTACATGTTGTAGGCACGTATCCTATCCTCCCAGATACTTCCTGATGACTCCTTAACAACGTCTCCAAATCACCAAACGACGGATGCCATTGTATTTGCAACAATAAATTAATATTAGCTGCCATAACATCTCTCACTTGTTTATAAGGATGTCGTACGTTAGCTGTGAATATTTCTACCAGAGGCATTGATTGAGGCGTTATACGCCATGAAAAGGAGCTAATTACAGTGTTTATGAAATATAGTTTTTTTGCTTCGTTGAACGATGCATGCGATGTTGGATCAAAATGAGATTGAAGGACAAGCTCGATAAGAGGATATACTCTGCGTGGGTCTCGATTACGCTGTACGGCCCAAAGAGAACAGAAATTGTTATTACAAGAACATCAATAAAAGTATACAGCTCATAACGGTTCTACTTACAAGACAGTATCCAAGAAACTTATCCCAGTATATCAGCGAATCCGGTGTAATAGCATTAAAAGTCTTCCCCAATAACGGAATCATCCATGCCCATAACGCATCCAACTTTCCCACATCCCAATGCTTGCTCCCTCTAACCAACCCTGCCAACATCTCAGCTGCAGCCCGCTGTTTGTTCTTCTCTTCAGAAGCATTGCATAATGCATTTACTTCTGGTTTGAACACATCTAACGCCTGATCCTCGTATATTTGGTATATGCTCTTAAATAAATTTGCATTAACAGTCGAGAAAACGTCGTCTTTGTCACGAGCTAATTCTTGCGACATGTATACAGACAGCGAGTTCCAAAATTGTGCAGATGTAAAGTATGATAGCAGAGTAGAATAGGTTGCAGAAGACTCAGCGTCGATCGGGAATAGGGCAATTGATGATGTGCGTGGCATATAGCCTGTAAAGGATGCTGGCCAGAGCAGCCAACCAATGCTGCTCTTTTCCTGAAATACACTTATAGATGGGAAAAGTGGATAAAGAAAAAGTCAGTTAAACGATAGTTGGATAGTCAATGATCGGATAGTTTGTGGTTAATATAGACAGCGTATATTAATCGACAACTAACCATCAAACAAGCATTAAATCAATACAAACATGTTTTCAGTTTTACTCTTTGCAATAGGAATCAACCCTGATGTCAAATAATCATTAACAAAACCACTTGGCAAGGGTTTAGGGGTTGTGACCATTTTCTTCATTGGATGTTTTTTATCGTTGAGTGGTAATAGTTCTATTTCGCCTTGATGATAGGCTCGTTGCTTCATGTAAAGTAGTATTTTCGTCGTAGCTATTATCGCTATACGTCGTAGGGAAGGAAGCTCGGATACTAGACTCTTGACTACAAAGTCTGCTAGCTCCGGTTTCACTGCTGCCTCAGGACGGATAAGGACATCCAAAAAGTTGGTGACCATCAGAGTAAAGCGCCAGTGAAGCGTGTTTGACTTTACTAGTTCAAGAAGGGCTTCCACCTAGTGATTGTAAAAAAAAGTGGTATGCGATGAGTGCGCCGACGACATCGATAGCATATAGCATGCACACATTATTAACTATCTTTTAAACGTTACCAATTCAAAATAATTTTTCTTCTGCAATGCCATCTTACGCTCTACTTTCTCCTGGATATCCTTGTACTGGACATCGTTTATAGTCACTGATGATGTTTTCAATAAGCTGTCTATTGCGTCGTTTAAACCTTCGGTTAATTCAACTTGGAATGCGGTATTTCCGTAATTGATCAGATAATCGTAAAACACTCTTCGTATCAATTCTTGCACGGATGGCTAAATAAATAGTGATGGGTTGCATTAACCAGCTATTCTCAATATGACTGTCCAAAGGCATCATTATACTGACCTTGTCTTCGTGTTGCGCTTGACATATGTGTATAATAAAAGATGGAACAAATCGCCAATCACGTAGGCAGGTATGCATATAAGTGCGTGAATTAAGGAGATATAGGGCGCCTTTCATTCTGTCAGGATGAGCATTCTCTAAATAATATTTATCAAGAGCGATATTAAAATATAATATCTCGACATATTACATTTTTAGCGTACATCTCTGCGTTTACTTACCTCCGGCTTCAAGCGCACTTAGTAGTTTTGGTATTATTAATGGTTTGGCTCCAATGAAACATCTTGAGGCATTAGTCAAACAAGCTTGCGCTATTCTATGAAAGTATAGAAAATATAATGAGAGTATTGCTTAATCACGTTCATTGCTACAATTTATTACCTTCTAATTTCGGAATATAGACTCAGAGACAGTTCAGTCAGATCTCCCAACAGATGATCATGCAATTGCGTTCGAGGGCGGTTGAATGCATTCTGCTTCAATCGACATAAATGGCGTTGATATACGCGTTTCACTTTGTAAGTAAAGCATTGGGTAGGGTAAGTTATGGGTATATGAGTATAATATATAAGTTCATATGCGCATATTTTTCTCACCCAACAGATATCGTGGATAGCTCTTGTCATGGTGAGAAACCTTCAGTATATCCTTCTGATAATTATATCCGCGCCTGCTAGCATCGTATTTAGACTTCTCAACACCCCGATTAGTTAAGTACATCTTCATCGCCTAGTATAATGAAGAGATATAGATTCAGACACTAGCGTTAAATGATATAATCAAATTATCAAACGCTGGTTACTTTTAACAGGATCTTCAAGCTCTCAATGTCGTTCTCACGATTTGTGCGGAAATACGTTGCAAGCTCATGTAAGAATTCTCCCAACTGTCTACGCAACTGTCTCGCTGTGTGAGTTCGTGCATCATTTGGATCAGTGAAACAGTATCCACTATACAATTTTCTCAATGGTCGAACAGAAGCAGTCTCATTGTCACTACAAAATATAACGAATGCGAAAGAAATTATTACGTGACAATTCCAACCAAAGCAACAACTACCAGCTCAAGTCCTCTTCTTCTACATATCCTCTCTCTTAACTTTCGACATACCTAAACTCAGATAAGCTATTGTCTCCATCATCGTAAACCATTGTATTTGTTCCTGTTAAACAATTCCTGACAATACTTAAATGTCGACAAAATTCATTCGACATCTCACGAGTACCCAATGGTTTTCCCTCTTCATCTGTCCCAGTAGCCATCAACTCTTTTAGTCTGGTGATCGATGGCTTTAAGAAATTGTCAAGTAATTCCAATGCAAGGTCTTTCTCAGCGTCAGAAGGGATGTGCCAGTCGATTTTAACGTTCTGTGAATCACCAGGTTTGCCCCAATATTTGTAGTGATTATGTCTGTACTCTAAAGTAAAGGCAAGTTTCAATAAACACGGTGAGATACGATACAAATTCATTGAATTGTAGTATCGATAGCAAGACAGTAACTTGTAAGCAGGATCGTATTCATTATCTTCACCACACGTATCCCGTTCAAATTTACACACTGCTTAGTACAAAATAACTGTTCTCCTTTCAGTTATGCTTACCATCAGAAAGCCATGTCTCTTGATCGACATTCCTACATTCGTTCGGATAAATACCCGTCAACGCGCCCAACATCTGTCTCAAAAACTTGCCAGCCCACATGTATCCTCTCCGCGATCTACACTTTCCAACCATTTCCTTTCCTAGCTCAATCAATTCCTTCTTATAATCTAACAATTCTGGTCCACTAAACATGACCACGTTATAAAGAATACATTGATACCAGTGAAATCTCGTGTCGGATTGGATGTGGTGTGAAGAGGACACTGTGGGAGTGGAGGAAGCGCCGTGTTGAAGTTCTATGAGAATGTTTGTGCGACATATTGGAATAAACTTGGCAAGGCCCTTTCGGCGGTTTGGTGATGTTACTGCAGCGCAGAGGTGACCTAAAGCGGAGGTGCCGTAGAATTAGCCAGCGAATAATTTGGAATTGGAAAACAAGAAAAGGAACGACGAACAAGGAAATGATAAAAATGCTTTACCCATTGGTTTGATAGCATTTTGTAAAATAGTGCTTGTTGCAAAGTCAACTATCATCTTTAGTGCTATGTCTTGCAAATGTTCAGATAATTGAAAGCCAACCACTTCACAAGCATGCTAAATGTATTATATAGACTGTTATATATCGTCGAGTAGTGTACAAAGCTCATATAAACTACGAGTCTTACCAATAATACGGAGATAAGCCCAGTATCCAGATTATATGTATTCATTTTCCCACTAGCCTGCTGGGGAAAATATTCGAACTATAACAATTAAACGCGAGTTAAAGATAACAGTTATCCAAAATAAATACTGACAACTTTTCTTCCATCCTCTCATATCCGCTAGATCATTAATACATGAATGCTAGCAAAATTTATAAAGGATACAATAGTAAACACCCTTCGCAAAAATTTTGCAACCCAGTCTTCAAACTCAGCCGTACCGGCTCTGGCCATACCATCCTCTTCCCCTTCATCAACCTCCATCCCGCTGGCGTCTCCTTCGTCAACATCCATTCCCGACCAACGGGGAGCATTTCCATTCCCGTTTCCTTCAGTCACATCGATCAACGGCACGCCAATAATAGAGTGAGTTATGAATAAGAGGGAGGAGATGGTTTTCAACGGGTCGTTCATGTCGACCCCCGGAAGGACCAAATGGAGAAGCGGAGCCAAGTGCTTGCCGCCCGTGGGATAGTGTGCACGAGAGAAGAGTGCTGGAGCGCATAGCGATAGTGCAGAGATGCAAGAAGTTGTACGGTGTGTCTTTTTATTGAAGAATTTTGAAAGTGAAGAAGAGAACGATAGACAGCAAGGACAGTTAAGACCGATTATGACATAATGATTAACGTGGATACAAATTACTATTTAAGTTGACATTACCTCAGTTAACGATTCCAATGATGGGTATGCTCTCTCCAATAGTCCTGGAAGAATAACTGCTGGTTCAAGCCCTTTGTATGTATACGCATTTATCAGTACCATGAAATAGTACATAAAAAACGTGAGAATCAACAATTAAATCGATATTCACAAGCTAAATACTTCAACGCTGCATGACTAGCAGAGACGGAACTCTGATCCTTCCCGAACATTGACAAAAAGGTGACACTTCTGAGTGTTGTTACAAAGTCGCGTTTCAAGTCGGCTGTTAATCTGAGATGTTCAGGCGTTTTACAATTCGGCTTTTGTTCTGAGGTGGATAAAATACATGGCGTTGATGATAAAATAAGTCATATCAACTTTATATCAACAGTACGATTACTTTATAAATTACTACTTACCCTCCTTCCATCTACGCAGAAATTCATATCCCAGGGATTGTAAGAAGCGAACCATTGGGAACGTCCATCTCCCAAAATTGCTTGGATGGTAAAATGACTCGGTAGCCTGAATCAGATTAATTAGATGACCGAGTGAAGTCTCCTCAGTTGGTAGTCCATCAGATGGGAAGATAGTGTACACAATAAGCTTTGCAAACATTTTGAACCTATCCTAATACATTTGCGATCATTTGACGGAATAAAATCGAATTGTGAATAAGTTAGTTCAATAAAAAAAGGGGCGACATCCGTGAATCTTATAACAAATATCATGTCTATCTATACGCGCACACCATCTATCTCACGCTTAAGTATTCAAAGATCCACCCGAACCATATAGCAATAAAAAAATACCCCTTTCTTCTTCAGAAGTAGAGCACTTCCAGCTCGCATATCCAGTTTCGAAAACCATCCACCAGTCGACGTCCGATCCCTTGCATTATTTCCAGTAATACTACTACCAACGGGCAAATCCATTAGCTTTGCTCCAATGGCAAATACACTTCTGATCTGTGATTTGGTGAATACTCCAATATAATCTGGATCGTTCATCTCAATATGAACATTATCTTCAGCTACGCGAGCTAGCAAGTCGACGAGTTCTGTTTGAAATAGCATCGAACCAGGCACAAGTGACCAGAGTGTGAAGATTGAAGGAAGCCATGATGATGGAGAGTTTGAGGTAGGAGAAACTGATGACAACGGGGATGGGACAGTTGGAAGAAAGTGAATTAAAAAGGCTTGGGCAGCCATCGTGTCCCCCGCAGAATTGGCGTTGTAGAGCGGTAGGATTCTTTGGAGGATGGCTGTTGTTGAACCCGGGGGGAAGAATCTAATAACAGGCAGGACATGATACGAGGTTAGAATGATACATTAACACAATTACATGAATTTCACCGGCACGTTATACTTATGAGTTTCCAATTACCTCTGAGCATGGTCAACCAAACGCACAACTGATCCTATTTGTTTTCTGTTATAAAGTTAAGGATGAACCAAGACATTGCTATTAATCTGGCAATTTGAGCTCCAATTGAGAAAGGATACGATTGACTAGGTAAGGTCTTTTGACGTGACTTTGGAAAAAAAGTCTGATATATGATGTCAAACAGAGGTTCCCATGGCAATGTTAAGTCTTCCTGACTAATCTTTTCCTTTTTTCTTATAAAGATCATGACATTACGTTAAGAACATGGCTAGTTATCGTTTTGCATAAAAGCATTGATGATTAGCAGAGTATTTCTTACTTGATTAGCCTTACGCATGCATTAGCATATATTTCAACCTGAGCATAGTCAATGCCTGGAGTAACTACTAGTTCATATAGTATATGAGCAAGTTGTGCTCTAATTTCGCGTGCTAAGGTGTGTTGCAAGTCAAGATAACTAGAATACAGAGACCAGAGTGAATTAAGTGTTGGTAATTAAAATTGGAATGAATTGAGAAGAATGCTTAAGCATTCACACTTGTTCTTTATCTTGTTCCATAGACAGAAGCTAATGCATGAAGCTATTGTACGAACAAATGCAATCCGTATGTGCAAGCCATTATTCCACTATACTCTTACCCATTCAATTGCTTAACCCAGAAAGCAACACCTGGTCCCCAATCTTTTGCTTTCGAAGCTGCGCATAAGTTTTCTATTATTTCGTCCAGAAGGCGCTTCGCTTCTCCCTCAAGCTCAGAGGCATATGGGAGATTTTGTAGCGACATATTGACGATCTGTTCGATTAACATAAATTATAATAATAATAAATAGAAATTATGCCGTGACGTAACGGTCCGATTACGCGGCTACAGCATATAGTCACAGTGACTCTAAGGAGGGGTGACTGTAGAAAGCGATTCATTAGCGGTCATGTGATCAACAACATAGGTTAGCATTAGGGTTATCGACAACTCCATAGCTTTGAAATGCTTAACAGAACATTGGCGAGTACATTTATATTAAGCCATTTTCCATTTTGATAAAATCTTGGTTATAGAATTTGCTCCAACAATTTTCGTTGAACCAATATCTACGACTGTGACCAATCGCTAATAGAACAAGTATGTCGCCAACACTGTTTCCGTGATTATGTGATTGTGTGCTTGTGTGATTGTATAGAGGGATTTTATGGTGACTGTGACCAACCCATCAATTTTTTATTACCAAGATTTTAGCATAAAACCATCGTTTTCCGGCCATTCCAGTCTTCAAATTCCAAAAAGCCAATAATTCTGATTCTGGATAAAAACTATATTGGCACTCATGCTAATGCCTTCTCACTAACTTCTATCTTGACATTCGCTCAAAGTGGCTTAATCATCACTTGGGTGTTATTCTTTCCCGAGTTAAAGTCATTATCTTACTCTTTTCGGCAATGATCATTATAGGTTACAACTTGGGAATAAAATGTTGGGGTGATATTTCCTGCATGGAATTCAGACTTTAATAATGACTTTCGATTTTACTTATTTACCTTTGAGCATTGACGTTATAGTCATTTTATTCTTCATCAATGATAATTTGCAATTCCTCAATATGACGACATTAGTGATTGTCGTTATGCGGAATTTTGGGTTAATATAATATCAAGACTGAAAATGATACGAACTTGACTTTTTTCGATGACTTTGGGAGCCTCGGATTTTTCAATTTTAAATGGCTTGAAGAAGAAAGGACCACTCATGCTTTCTTATTTTTGGGTTTTGACAACATTCGCTTAGCTAACACTTAAATTTGATTCATTTGTTGAAAATGCGTCTATAGAGGCTTATACGTACGTATGTAATGTTTTTGTTTGCCTCAAATATCTAGAGTAAAATTATTTATCCTGCTGACTAAATGCAAGCAACTCTATTAGAAAGATCAAATTAAAATATCTTACCAAAGACGTGCTTAGTTATGAACAATATCAAACCACCTGGACAAAGTCGTACAGGTATTGATTAACAACCGTAAGAAATATTGACTTGTGCCGTACAATGCAAACATTTGATGAAGAACTCTATTTTATCAACTACCTTTAAAATCGCAACTATGACATTTAAACGCGATATCAACAACCACCACTTTAAATATTTCTTCACTCTTCCAACAAAATTAGTCTATTTGCTGCTGCAAAAAAAAAAAAAAAAAAAAAAAAAAGACATTTTTTAGATGTTGAAGTGTAGGAAGTCCATATGGTCCAGAGGACAGCTGATTGAGTTAGATGAGCAATATGCTTAATTTTTGAAGGAAGGTGTGACTGAATAATGGAAGATGGAGAGGGAAGGTGTGGAATTAATAAGGAGACAAGCGTGGAAGGTTCCAAAGGAAGGAAAAGTGTGACACCAGGAACAAAAGCCAGAGTAAATGGAAATATTAATATGAGCTATTTGGGAGTGGAGTCACTGGACATCAAAATTTTATTTTGATGTAGTGGAAAGAACATAATTATGTTATTTCCACTTAGTCTAGGTTATTCCCACTCAGGTATGTGTTGTGACGACAGAAATGCGACACTGTTGTCAGTGTCATGATATAATTTTTATGACATCATTGTCAGTGTTGTGATATATATTTTATGACACATTTTTGACATCAAAAATATGATACTGTCTTCAGTGTTGTGATATAAATATTTGTATGTCAGTTTAGTGTTTCTCCAATGAAAAAAAAATTCCAATTTAGGTTATGATGCCTCAGGCATGCTCCTTCTATATTGAGTTCTAATTACTTTAGAAACCCAAACTTGATAATGACATTTGTATGCTGGTTTGTTCACCATGGCTGATTTCTGATGTTATCTGGACATGCTATATATGCTATCTGGTTATGCTATATACACAATATCTGGGCACACTAACAGGATATGCTATCAAATATGTGTCACGTAATTGCTATCAATTAATGCTATCTGGTTATGCTATCGATTAATGCTACCAAATATGTATGCTAAGTACTGTATATTATCATGAATAAGCACACCCCCTCGATCATATGAAAATGATCAGCAAAACTGTCACATAAATAACAAACTTAGGGGGTTAGTTTATAGTAATCACAGTAACCAGAATTGTATTGTATTATAGAATTGAAATAAAAGGTTTATAATCACGTGTATTATTATTATGTAATAAATTGTTAATGAGGGGTACATTGTGTGGGTAATCATGGTAATCATGGGGGTGGGTGTGCTTATTCACGATAATATACGGTATATCATGAAAATGCTATTGATAATCTATCAAGTACATGCTATCAGACTATGCTATATATGTCGTGCATAAATCCCGTCATCGTATAAATCCCGTCAAAGTACCCCAAAATTGAGAAGGGTCCCTAAACA